ACGTTGGAATACTTTCCAGAGAGGGGATAAAGAAAGGCTTGATCATTTTGCAAGGCCCATATCACGTGGCTGAGAAGCCATCTACTACAAGTTTATCGCCTGTGGCATCCAAGGCTTCCTAAAAAGCAACCTCGCTCTCGACCTGCTTCACCATCTTGGCTGCTGAGGTCTGACGAGCGGCTGTCTTTTTATTTTTTTCTTTTTAAATAGGAACTGACCGTTTTCATTTGTAGCCTGTTACTCCATAATTCTTTAGGATGTTCAAAGTTGGAGTGACCATATATACCTGTCCCTGTTCCTCTTGACACTCAGTGAGCAGCCATCTGAGTAAGTGGAAGTGTCATATTTGCTCCAGGTATTATGTCAGGAGCCTTAAATGCAGAATTTGCTGGATTGAGTCTTTTAGCCCAATAGTTTGCCACCATTGCCAGATTTGGGAGCATCCGAGAAGAGACCTCAAATCATAATAGGTTGGTGCGGGGCTCCCCCATACTCAAAAAACTGTCCGTGTGTTTTCCAGGCAAGCGTCTCTTTCTCCTTGAATACAACAATCTTGGTTACAACTGATGGCAGTGCAATAGATCGGTCCATACACTGATCTAAGAACATCTTGATAATACAATATGTTGTCATTCGCACTCTAGCAGCCACTAGTCTATAACCTGGTCGAGTAGCTCTTTTTCCGGGGACTCGAATTCTGTTGTCAAAGCAAAGACCAGTGATCCCACCCACGGTCTCGAATTAAACCAGTTAGTCGCCAGCCCTGCGTTGTAATTGAGCGACAGGTTGGCATCATCCCCGTGTGTTGGTCTTTGGAGAGACACCATCAGGGTCTTGAATCATTTTTGAGCCTGGAGACTATTAGCACGCATTTTATCCCTCAACTCCGCCACTACATTGCCCACCTGCCGAGGTACAGATGATATCTTGAAGGATGTGAGTTCTGGGTCCTTCCCTTTGAGGATTTCACCATACAGTGCTTTGATTTTGTTCTTTCCACTACTGGAATCGCAACATACAACTCCCTGGAGAGTCCTACAGATAAGAGATTCTCACGTAACGCCTCAAACAAAAAGCAGAGAAACACCTAACTTGCTGTGATGGGGTGAGGTGTGATCAATGGGTTGGATCGAGCATCGATTTGATGCTCTAAATCTCCTACTTGCCCAGTGCCAGGACATGGTTCCTCCACATAGGTTGGGTACTGCCCAAATTTCCCACCTAGCTCAAAGGACTTTCGCCCAGGAAATGGTCATGCAGAGGGAGGTTTGGAGCTGTCCACGGGGTCCTCCACGGTGAACTATAGTGTTGGCTGCGGGAGCGATCGGTTCCTTCGTTGTCTATTTAATTGTGGCGTCAGTTGCTGGCAATATACACAAAAATTGGTGACTTTTACTTTATGTAAATTATACCTCAGCTGGGCACGGCGGCTCATGCCTGAAATCCCAGCACTTTGGGAGGCTGAGGTGGGTGGATCACGAGGTCAGGAGTTCGAGACCAGCCTGACCAATATGGTGAAACCGCACCTCTGCCCTCAGGTTCAAGCGACTCCTCGCCTCCAGCCTCCCAGGTAACCTGGAATACAGCACGCTCCGCCAAGCCCGCTCCCAGGTAGCTGGGACTACAGGTGCCCGCTGCCAAGCTCAGGTAACTTTTGTATTTTTGGTAACACGAGAC